TACTGTTAAATTTTATCCTGATGGTTCTGTGGAGCGTCTCAAAGCCCGATTTGTTGCAAAGGGGTTTACTCAGACTTATGGTGTTGATTATGAGGAGATTTTTTCTCCTGTTGCCAAAATTTTCTCTGTTCGTATCTTGATTTCTTTGATTGCTAATCTTGATTAGCCCTTGTTTCAGTTAGATGTTAAGAATGCCTTCTTACATGGTGACTTGGTTGAAGAGGTATACATGGAGCAGCCACCTGGGTTTACTGCTCAGGGGAAGTATAGTAAGAGTGTATGTCGGTTAAAGAAATCTTTGTATGGTTTGAAGCAATCACCAAAGGCATGGTTTGGTAAGCTTTCAGATGCAGTTTTAGAGTTTGGTCTTTTTCGATGTCAGACAGATCATTCTGTGTTTCATAGACAGATAGATGTTGGATATGTTCTATTGATAGTCTATGTAGATGATATTGTGATTACTGGAAATGATTTTGAGGGGATTGCCAAGTTAAAAATATTCTTATAGGATCGATTTCATACTAAGAATTTGGGAAAACTCAGGTATTTCTTGGGTATTGAGGTGGCTTGATCTAAATAGGGTATTTGTTTATCTCAGAAGAAATATGTACTTGACATGCTTAAGGAAGCAGGTTTGCTGAGTGGTAGACCGATTGATGTTCCTATAGATCGGAATCAGAAATTATTGATGGAGGATGGTGCATTGTTTGAGAATCTGGGTCGGTATCGCAAATTGGTTGGGAAGCTTAATTATCTCACTATTACTCGATCGGATATTTCCTATGCAGTCAGTATAGTAAGTCAGTTCATGGGATGTCCTAGAGTTCCACATTGGGAGGCAGTTACTCGTATTCTGCGATATCTCAAACGAGCTCCTGGACTTGGACTGTTATATCGAGTTAATGGATATCTTAGAGTGGAAAGNTTATCCTGATGGTTCTGTGGAGCGTCTCAAAGCCCGATTTGTTGCAAAGGGGTTTACTCAGACTTATGGTGTTGATTATGAGGAGATTTTTTCTCCTGTTGCAAAAATTTTCTCTGTTCGTATCTTGATTTCTTTGATTGCTAATCTTGATTAGCCCTTGTTTCAGTTAGATGTCAAGAATGCCTTCTTACATGGTGACTTGGTTGAAGAGGTATACATGGAGCAGCCACCTGGGTTTACTGCTCAGGGGAAATATAGTAAGAGTGTATGTCGGTTAAAGAAATCTTTGTATGGTTTGAAGCAATCACCAAGGGCATGGTTTGGTAAGCTTTCAGATGCAGTTTTAGAGTTTGGTCTTTTTCGATGTCAGACAGATCATTCTGTGTTTCATAGACAGATAGATGTTGGATATGTTCTATTGATAGTCTATGTAGATGATATTGTGATTACTGGAAATGATTTTGAGGGGATTGCCAAGTTAAAAATATTCTTATAGGATCGATTTCATACTAAGAATTTGGGAAAACTCAGGTATTTCTTGGGTATTGAGGTGGCTTGATCTAAATAGGGTATTTGTTTATCTCAGAAGAAATATGTACTTGACATGCTTAAGGAAGCAGGTTTGTTGAGTGGTAGACCGATTGATGTTCCTATAGATCAGAATCAGAAATTATTGATGGAGGATGGTGCATTGTTTGAGAATCTGGGTCGGTATCGCAAATTGGTTGGGAAGCTTAATTATCTCACTATTACTCGATCGGATATTTCCTATGCAGTCAGTATAGTAAGTCAGTTCATGGGATGTCCTAGAGTTCCACATTGGGAGGCAGTTACTCGTATTCTGCGATATCTCAAACGAGCTCCTGGACTTGGACTGTTATATCGAGTTAATGGATATCTTAGAGTGGAAAGTTTCTTAGATGCTGATTGGGCTGACTCTCCTTCTGATCGGAGATCAACCACTGGTTATTGTACTTTCTTAGGAGGGAATGTTGTCTCATGGAAAAGTAAGAAACAACCCGTGGTAGCAAGATCCAGTGCTGAGGCTGAGTATAGGATAATGACACATACGACGAGTGAGTTGACTTGACNTTGGTTGAAGAGGTATACATGGAGCAGCCACCTGGGTTTACTGCTCAGGGGAAATATAGTAAGAGTGTATGTCGGTTAAAGAAATCTTTGTATGGTTTGAAGCAATCACCAAGGGCATGGTTTGGTAAGCTTTCAGATGCAGTTTTAGAGTTTGGTCTTTTTCGATGTCAGACAGATCATTCTGTGTTTCATAGACAGATAGATGTTGGATATGTTCTATTGATAGTCTATGTAGATGATATTGTGATTACTGGAAATGATTTTGAGGGGATTGCCAAGTTAAAAATATTCTTATAGGATCGATTTCATACTAAGAATTTGGGAAAACTCAGGTATTTCTTGGGTATTGAGGTGGCTTGATCTAAATAGGGTATTTGTTTATCTCAGAAGAAATATGTACTTGACATGCTTAAGGAAGCAGGTTTGTTGAGTGGTAGACCGATTGATGTTCCTATAGATCGGAATCAGAAATTATTGATGGAGGATGGTGCATTGTTTGAGAATCTGGGTCGGTATCGCAAATTGGTTGGGAAGCTTAATTATCTCACTATTACTCGATCGGATATTTCCTATGCAGTCAGTATAGTAAGTCAGTTCATGGGATGTCCTAGAGTTCCACATTGGGAGGCAGTTACTCGTATTCTGCGATATCTCAAACGAGCTCCTGGACTTGGACTGTTATATCGAGTTAATGGATATCTTAGAGTGGAAAGTTTCTTAGATGCTGATTGGGCTGACTCTCCTTCTGATCGGAGATCAACCACTGGTTATTGTACTTTCTTAGGAGGGAATGTTGTCTCATGGAAAAGTAAGAAACAACCCGTGGTAGCAAGATCCAGTGCTGAGGCTGAGTATAGGACAATGACACATACGACGAGTGAGTTGACTTGGCTACTACACTTCTTCCAGGAAATTAGGTTTCCAATTCAACTTCCTTTACAGTTGTTCTGTGACAACCAGACAGCTATCCATATCGCTGCCAATCCTGTGTTTCACGAGAGAACCAAGCATATTGAGGTTGATTGTCACTTTATTCGGGACAAGATAATAGCTGGGGAGATTACAACTCCATTTGTGAAATCTGAAGATCAACTTGTAGATATGTTTATAAAAGCATTAAGTCATACACGTCTTACAGCTATTTGTTCCAAGCTTGGATTATATGATATATATAGTCCAACTTGAGGGGGAGTGTTAAAAATAGTAGGGTAGTATGTGTAAATTGTTAATAGGAAGAGGGTGTATGTGTAATTCTTATTATTGTAGGTTAACTATAAATACAAATGATGTATGAGAGTTAGGTTAAATTTTTTAACCACTCTCTTTGTCTCTAATATGATGTTAATCCTCCAAACTTCACACTAGGCAAGCTAAGAATATAGTAGACCAGATGGTCAAAATCTAACAGAATATATTATGGCCGTAGTCTCTTTACATGGATTGTAAATTGCTCGTATTTGGCATTTTTGACATCGTTGATGTTGATCATTTCTGACTGAAGTTCTAAAAGGTTAATACATGGCATCTTTATACATAACTGGTTTATCTATTTGGACTAAATCTGTACACTATAACACATGGATTATCTATAGTAGCTAATTTTCCTTGATAACCCTAGCTCATTCTAAGACAATAATACATCATTGTACTGTCTTGAGCATTTTCTTGACTCTGTGACTTTTTTATTAATTATATCATATTCATTTACTTTTATATATAGTAATGCTCACTTGATGTCTCATTAATCAATGTGTCGATCAGAGTTATGGTTCAGTTAAGAGATTGGGGAAATGGTTTCGATTTAAGGCAATGAAGGCCTTTAATTTCAAACATATTTTATCAAGAATAATACTTTTAAGTTTGTGTACGCCAGATGTGTGATAAAACTAAAGATTGTGGTTCATGCTCCCCTCGCAACAGCTAACAACACACATATCGTCTCTGCTGGAGGTGGTTTATGCTTTATTGTTGCCATTTCTGGTTTTGAATTATAAAAAGGAGTATAACTATATTGGACTACATTCATAACATAGTTATGTTGATGCTGTCATACAACCAAAACAAACAATTCACAATTTGGCTATATTGTTATAAAAGAACACTTGAAAACAAAAACAAGAAGACAACGTACGTTAAAATGTACAAGAATGGCTTGCTATCTTCTTCCAATTGCTATTTTTGCTGCTTTTATTACATAGTTGGTAGTGGAATTTCTTGCACTAAATGCTTGTGCTGGAAGTTGCAATAACTCATTGATGAATCTAAATGATTTCTTGGTCTTACTAATCACAGCCCGATACTAGAGTTCAAAAGAAAATAAATTACAATATTAGAAGAGCAAAGGGTGGTTTTCTTGTTTAGGTTGTTGAGAAAGTTATTAACCCTTGGTTGCAGGAGCAGAAGCTATGTTTGCGGATTTAGGTCATTTCTCGGTACCTTCCATACAGGTTTCTTTCTTTACTTCAAATATATATTTTAATGGCACGTCTTGTAGAAGGATCTTTACTGCACTTCACTAGCAATATATTTGATCTAAATTGACTGTCGCAGATTGCCTTTACTTCTGTGGTGTTTCCCTGCCTTTTCTTGGCTTACATGGGTCAAGCTGCGTACCTCATGAAACACCATGACTCAGCAGATAGAATTTTTTATGATTCTGTTCCAGGTGATGTTTGCCAAAATATCTCTGTTCATTTTTCCTTTTGCTGCTACAGATGTTGTCCAATTATAAGGCCGGAGATTTTTATTCACAATTCTTTTTTGATATTTCCTTATTTGTGAACAACAGATGGCCTTTTCTGGCCAGTTTTTGTGATAGCCACAATTGCTGCCATAATTGCCAGTCAAGCTATGATATCTGCTTCATTTTCATGCATCAAGCAAGCTATGGCTCTCGGATGCTTCCCAAGGGTGAAGATAATTCACACTTCGAGGAAAATGATGGGTCAAATTTACATCCCCGTCATTAATTGGTTTCTGATGGTCATGTGCATACTTGTGGTTGCCGCCTTTAGAAGCACCACAGACATTGCAAATGCATACGGTAATGTTTCTTCCTCAGGGCTTTCGAATTTCCCTAACATTTTTAGAAGCATTTCCTGCAAACAGTCAGTCTAAGGACTTCATTGCTCCCTAAAACTGTGATTCCTGAATTTTGGAAATATTTAATCTTGGTCCTATAATTTTTGTTTGTAATAACTTGAAAATTTGAAGTGGTTCAGGAATGATTTGTTAACAACATGATATGCATTTTCCACAAATTCGTTCCTATTTTTTTTTTCTAGTGTATTCTGACCCTTCTCACATTTCTGTGACCAATAGCTTCTCATTTTTTTCAAGGTGAGCTCACCAGCCTAAATTCCTTTGTCGAATAAGAACTTGACTCTTGAATATGTCACAGCACTATCATGGTAGAACCCGTGACCAATGGTCCTCCACAAAAACACACAATTTTAGCAGGAGAGTAGGAAATGTTACAGTTATAGACAGATATCTAAATTCAGCAATTATTAATTAGTACTCATTGTTCTCGCAGGCATTGCTGAAGTTGGTGTCATGATTGTGAGCACTACCTTGGTGACCATTGTTATGCTTCTAATTTGGCAAACCAACTTGTTTCTAGCTCTGTGTTTCCCACTTGTATTTGGAACAGTAGAGCTCCTCTACTTGTCTGCTGTTCTATCCAAAATTTTTGAGGGTGGTTGGCTTCCCCTGGTATTTGCTACTTTCTTCCTGTGTGTTATGTACATTTGGAACTATGGAAGTGTGTTGAAGTACCAGAGTGAGATCAGAGAGAAGATCTCAATGGATTTCATGCTTGAGCTTGGATCCACCCTTGGGTCTGTAAGAGTTCCAGGAATTGGATTACTGTACAACGAGCTGGTTCAAGGGATTCCTTCTGTTTTTGGGCAGTTCCTTCTGGACCTTCCAGCTATCCACTCTACTATAGTGTTTGTTTGCATCAAGTATGTCCCTATCCCAGTTGTCCCTCAAGAAGAAAGGTTCCTGTTTCGAAGGGTTGGTCCAAAAGACTATCATATGTTCCGGTGTGTTGCCAGATATGGCTATAAAGATATCAGAAAGGAAGACCACCATGCATTTGAGCAGCTTTTAGTTGAAAGCCTTGAGAATTTCTTGAGGAAGGAAGCTCAAGATCTTGCCTTGGAGAGTAGTTTAAATGAAGTGGAGATTGATAACATTTCAGTGACAACAAGGGATTCTGAAGATCAAGATGGTGATGGGATGGGGGAGCTTAGGGTCCCATTGATGCATGATCAAAGATTGGAAGAACCAGGAACCTCCACTTCATCAGGAGCTGTCTCGGCATTGCCGACTAGTGTCATGTCTCCAGATGAAGATCCAAGCTTGGAGTATGAGCTTGCAGCTCTTCGAGAAGCCACTGAGTCTGGATTTACTTATTTGCTTGGGCATGGTGATGTGAGGGCGAAGAAAAATTCCTGGTTCATTAAAAAACTGGTGATAAACTATTTTTACGGATTTTTGAGGAGGAACTGCAGAGGAGGTGCGGCAACCATGAAGGTTCCTCACATGAATATAATGCGAGTTAGAATGACATACATGGTTTGATATGTCCTCCTCCTCCTCATCTTAAATGTTGCCTTTTTTATGCTATCATTGTTTGATTGTATTTGTAGGTGTTAGAGAAAACCTTGTATCTCAGTTTTTAAGAGACACATTCTATGATAATAAGGAATGTACCATGTTTCAAAACTAAACCTTGTATCTCAATTTTTAAGAGACATCATATGATTAGTGAGGAATGTACTATGTTTCAAAACTGAACCAAACCTGATTACTGATTGGTTTTTTCCATTATTTCCTGCAGAGGATTATGCATATCCTGCTTCTCACAATCTCTAAATTCATTCTGAAATTAGAGGTTGGCTTAATAGTCATATGTTCCACTGTTAAACCTTATGGTCGCGGGTTTGAACCTTATCGTCTCTTTACCCAATGATAGTGTCTGAACAATTTAAAAAAATCTCTAACTTCATTCTTTTGTTGCTTCTTGTCGAGTTGTCGATTTTCTTTCTTTTGTATTGTCTTGATTGTAACATCCCTTGGTCCTTAATACATCAGTTGGTACTTTAAAGGGGATTTGTGTAAAGTTTCTTTGAAGCCATGGATCAGACCTATGTGAGAAGCATCCCCCCCTCCTCTCCTTGAAAAAAATATTTGGTGTAACTGTTACACCACGTCAACAGTGTCACGTGGTGTAACTGTCTACTAATAAGTAAATAAGTCAACAAGTGAGCCCCACTAAAACTCATAACTATCTCTATAATTGAAGGTGGACCCCATTTCATCTATTTTGTTATTTTCTTATTGGATGGTTACACCATGTCAACAATGCTGACATGGNCCTCAAGAAGAAAGGTTCCTGTTTCGAAGGGTTGGTCCAAAAGACTATCATATGTTCCGGTGTGTTGCCAGATATGGCTATAAAGATATCAGAAAGGAAGACCACCATGCATTTGAGCAGCTTTTAGTTGAAAGCCTTGAGAATTTCTTGAGGAAGGAAGCTCAAGATCTTGCCTTGGAGAGTAGTTTAAATGAAGTGGAGATTGATAACATTTCAGTGACAACAAGGGATTCTGAAGATCAAGATGGTGATGGGATGGGGGAGCTTAGGGTCCCATTGATGCATGATCAAAGATTGGAAGAACCAGGAACCTCCACTTCATCAGGAGCTGTCTCGGCATTGCCGACTAGTGTCATGTCTCCAGATGAAGATCCAAGCTTGGAGTATGAGCTTGCAGCTCTTCGAGAAGCCACTGAGTCTGGATTTACTTATTTGCTTGGGCATGGTGATGTGAGGGCGAAGAAAAATTCCTGGTTCATTAAAAAACTGGTGATAAACTATTTTTACGGATTTTTGAGGAGGAACTGCAGAGGAGGTGCGGCAACCATGAAGGTTCCTCACATGAATATAATGCGAGTTAGAATGACATACATGGTTTGATATGTCCTCCTCCTCCTCATCTTAAATGTTGCCTTTTTTATGCTATCATTGTTTGATTGTATTTGTAGGTGTTAGAGAAAACCTTGTATCTCAGTTTTTAAGAGACACATTCTATGATAATAAGGAATGTACCATGTTTCAAAACTAAACCTTGTATCTCAATTTTTAAGAGACATCATATGATTAGTGAGGAATGTACTATGTTTCAAAACTGAACCAAACCTGATTACTGATTGGTTTTTTCCATTATTTCCTGCAGAGGATTATGCATATCCTGCTTCTCACAATCTCTAAATTCATTCTGAAATTAGAGGTTGGCTTAATAGTCATATGTTCCACTGTTAAACCTTAAGATCGCGGGTTTGAACCTTATCGTCTCTTTACCCAATGATAGTGTCTGAACAATTTAAAAAAATCTCTAACTTCATTCTNCTCTAAATTCATTCTGAAATTAGAGGTTGGCTTAATAGTCATATGTTCCACTGTTAGACCTTATGGTCGCGGGTTTGAACCTTATCGTCTCTTTACCCAATGATAGTGTCTGAACAATTTAAAAAAATCTCTAACTTCATTCTTTTGTTGCTTCTTGTCGAGTTGTCGATTTTCTTTCTTTTGTATTGTCTTGATTGTAACATCCCTTGGTCCTTAATACATCAGTTGGTACTTTAAAGGGGATTTGTGTAAAGTTTCTTTGAAGCCATGGATCAGACCTATGTGAGAAGCATCCCCCCCTCCTCTCCTTGAAAGAAATATTCGGTGTAACTATTACACCACGTCAACAGTGTCACGTGGTGTAACTGTCTACTAATAAGTAAATAAGTCAACAAGTGAGCCCCACTAAAACTCATAACTATCTCTATAATTGAAGGTGGACCCCATTTCATCTATTTTGTTATTTTCTTATTGGATGGTTACACCATGTCAACAATGCTGACATGGTGTAACGGTTACATCCAATATTTACTCCATGTCCTGGGAGAGGTCAGCCCAAGGAAGCTTCTGATGACTTCTCTTCAAAATCTGACCATCCTTTGCTTGTGATGATATTTTAGTTGTATTGGTATTCCATAGTCCATTTGATTTTTGAATCAAGCTTAGTGAAGAAATTTAAATTTAAAAGATTCTATTTGTGAGTGTAGTGATATAAGACTGTCTGATTGTGCTATATTGTAAGTAACTGGAAAAACCCATGCTGGATCATACAATGAGATTAATCAAAAGTTTTTTTTGTGTGTGTGTGTGTGAATGTGGGCATATGGGTTATGTTTATTCACTGTTCTCTTTTCCCAGCTTTGAATCTTTGTCAAAAAAAATTGTGGTTAAAAAGTAGTTGTTTGGTCAATTGTGTTTGATCTGGTGGAAAACATATCTACAATGGTGACACCACCAGTTTGATTTACATCTATCAGGATCAAGCCCCTTTGAATATCAACATCAAAAGTTGCCATTCCCTTCAGGATAGCTGCAATAGAGGAGACATTTCAATGTCATTCAGTTCCAACATCATCAAGTTACAAAACAATTTAATTATAATCCCATTTTTTTTTAATCCTCATTGAGTCGTAACGTAATTCTAATGANGTCCTTAATACATCAGTTGGTACTTTAAAGGGGATTTGTGTAAAGTTTCTTTGAAGCCATGGATCAGACCTATGTGAGAAGCATCCCCCCCTCCTCTCCTTGAAAGAAATATTCGGTGTAACTATTACACCACGTCAACAGTGTCACGTGGTGTAACTGTCTACTAATAAGTAAATAAGTCAACAAGTGAGCCCCACTAAAACTCATAACTATCTCTATAATTGAAGGTGGACCCCATTTCATCTATTTTGTTATTTTCTTATTGGATGGTTACACCATGTCAACAATGCTGACATGGTGTAACGGTTACATCCAATATTTACTCCATGTCCTGGGAGAGGTCAGCCCAAGGAAGCTTCTGATGACTTCTCTTCAAAATCTGACCATCCTTTGCTTGTGATGATATTTTAGTTGTATTGGTATTCCATAGTCCATTTGATTTTTGAATCAAGCTTAGTGAAGAAATTTAAATTTAAAAGATTCTATTTGTGAGTGTAGTGATATAAGACTGTCTGATTGTGCTATATTGTAAGTAACTGGAAAAACCCATGCTGGATCATACAATGAGATTAATCAAAAGTTTTTTTTGTGTGTGTGTGTGTGAATGTGGGCATATGGGTTATGTTTATTCACTGTTCTCTTTTCCCAGCTTTGAATCTTTGTCAAAAAAAATTGTGGTTAAAAAGTAGTTGTTTGGTCAATTGTGTTTGATCTGGTGGAAAACATATCTACAATGGTGACACCACCAGTTTGATTTACATCTATCAGGATCAAGCCCCTTTGAATATCAACATCAAAAGTTGCCATTCCCTTCAGGATAGCTGCAATAGAGGAGACATTTCAATGTCATTCGGTTCCAACATCATCAAGTTACAAGACAATTTAATTACAATCCCATTTTTTTTTAATCCTCATTGAGTCGTAACGTAATTCTAATGAATGGTAAATTGTTATGCAAACGCCGAAAACTATTTTTGAATACAATATTTCTTACAACTTATTTGTAGAATTGGCATGAACCATTCCTAGGGTATGTTCTAATTTGGTGTTTTGATGTTATAAGAACTATTTTAGATATCAATGTTGCCATCCATGGATGAGCCTGAAAAAAAGGACTTTTCAAATGAATAACTTTCAAGGGAGTACAGGCGATTGACAGAAAAAGTTTACCAATAAGCAGGACCCACACATTCAATGACTGGCTGTAGCAAATATCATCCCCCCTAAGGTGGGTCCTCTAAATCGGGATAGTTTAGCTTTGGGAATTATTTAGTACTATCATAGTTGTCTCGAGTTTAACACAATTGCCCTAAAACCGTTGAGAGTAGATTGGTAATTCAAATCTCCATTTCGAGTGTCATAAAAAAACTCTCTAATAAATCAAGGGATAATTCAAATGATAATAGAGATGAGTTATAAATTTAAATATTTTAAATTTAAGTTTTGGTTATTTTTTGGAGGCTGGTCATGAGAGATTTATCGTTCATGAATATTCTAGTCCTAACATAGAAAGTTTACATTTGACCAAATTAAAAAAGAGATTAGTCAAAGTACGCGTGAATTGATCAAATCGAAGAGGAGAAGTTTTAATTGATTTGATATTCGATTCGAAACTTGAAAGTGATAAACTATATTAGAGGCATGGGTCTGAAAAATTGTGTTGAGAGAATTCTCAAATAGAAAATGAAACATGTGTTGTAGCGAGATTGACCAAGATAATATCATATTAGAAACATTCAAAATTAGTGAATTTCATTTTCAACCTTGGTTGGTCTTGACTTAATTTGTGTCAAATTATATACCACAATACCCCTATGTTGAATTCAAACTTACTCCGACCCCCAATAGCAACGAGTTGTTTGTCTCTCGATCAGAATCTTACAAAAACGAATCACTTCTCAAACAAATGTTTTTTTTTCTCTCTCTTGAATTGTAAGATGATTTTTAGTCTATTGAAAACAGAATATTTCCTCAAAACCAAACTTGCCCATGAATCAAACTGGGCTCTGTTGGATTGGGTTCACCTTTATGGTGCAATCTACCTTTTGAGAACATCAAGCTAGAAGAAAATCTTCGAATAGCTTTGCCTTTCATTGGGTACGATAAAAAAATAGTAGAATAGAAAATTGTTTGATAAAGACAGAAAATAGAAAGGATAAAAAAGTGAATGAATTAACTTTTCTTCTAATTCACCAAAATTAATTTCTCCAAAATTAGGAGGAAAGTGGATGAAAAATTAATTGTGTATGTTGAAATATATGTTATTTCTCTATATACGTATATTATATTTATCAATTACATATTATGTATACATTAATTTCATATATAAATATAAGAATAAAATATGTATTTATATTTTTTCTAATAAAAAATAAAAAATACTTTTTTTCATCTTACCAAACACAAAAAAAAAAAAAAAAAAATCAATTTTTCATACTTTTCATCCCTCTTATCAAACAAAAAAGAAGAAAGGAAAAATTTCTTCTTTAAATGATAGAAAGTGTATCACTCTCACTTTCCATCCTTTTATTTTTTCATCCATCCTATCAAACGAACTGTTAAAGTCGGCCGATAACATGGCTCTTTCTTTCTCTGATCTCCATTCGAAAGAAAGGTCTTCACATTCCTAATCCAGTAGGGCCAGACAACTTTTATTGGCCATTGACGAATTACATCAAAGTCTAGCTATATAGCTCATATCTTGATACGATTCCAATTAAATTTACTATTATAATTTATTTAGATCATAACCTAATGCATCTTGATACCATCTAGGGGAGGGAGAAAGAGGAAGGGAGGGGGGGGGGGGA